TACTAAAATGTCCTTACTAAATACTCAATTTAGTAAAACGGAAAATCTAACGCCTAACACCTTTGCTTTAGCAAATCTTAGCGATTACTCCCAAAAGGCATGTCGTATAGCTTTTTTCCAACAGGTACATCGTATAGTTTGATAACTAAACTTTGATTGAGCAAATCTTACGGTGCTGATTTCTGAATTCCTATTTGGCTGGAGTCAAGAAAGAGTATCCGATTTAGATAGACGTATTTCATGTCTTCAAGGTACCCTATTGGTTTTAACATTCTTTTATATATTCGCTCACTAACTTCATTGTCAAATGCTTCTTTTGTGCCTAAAGACTATTGGCTGCAAATTTATATTTTCTTTCCTACTTCAAATACTCATCTTTCTCTTGTGTTTTTTAACCTTATTGTCATCATTTTTATTATACACGCGAAATTACTCAAAAGTCAACGATCAAATTTTACAAGCATAATTGTGTTGTCGATCGGCGACTATGACAGGGAAGGAATATACATACCTTTCTTATCTTCTTGTTTGATCTTTTTTTTAGCAGTTCTCACTTTATTTTACATGATAATTGTAGCGACCTTGAAAATTTGGCAAGGTTGTACGAATTTAAAAAGCATTGACAAATATTATTATATCGTTTACCTGTCAAAAATGACACCCTTTTCTACTTAGTATTTTCTTGTATTCATAAGTGCTATTGGATATTTAGATGATTATACAAACCTGTACAAAAGTGAGACATTGACCTAGGAAATTAGAGGATCTGATTTTTGCCAAAAAGAATGTTCAACTCGGAATAGGACGCAAAGCCCATATGGAGCTCTATATGATGGCTTCAAAGTTAGCTTACCAAAATGAAAATATTCCACCTCTCAACATATGAACTACTGTACTACAATATTGGATAGGCAAAGAGATAACATCAAAAATTTCAAAGCAAACAAGAAGAATGAGACAAAATCAGATTCTAAGCGAACAAGAAGAATGAGACAAAATCGGGTTCTATTTATTCTCTTCTTATTTATTTTTAATCGTCCTCCATCAATTGTAAGTTTGAATAAAATGAAATACATGCTAGGATAGTAGATATATATGACTGAAACTACAGAAGAAATATATTGTCTTCGATCGCATACTCACTCTAAAGTTATAAAGATAACTTATGTGATCATGGTGTTTTGTGTTGTTGTCAATGCTTTGAAATATCAATAACGATTCCAATGGCTAGAATTTTGTCGTTGGACTTGAAAGTTAAATGAAGTTAATTTTATAAACAGAGATCAACTATGGTGGCAATCTCTATCTCATGAAATGTTTCCGCCGCAAAATTGAGAATAAGTTCAAATATTTTCCTCATATAGTTTATTTCATGGCATGCAAAATATAATAGACTATTGAATAAAAATAAGAACACAAGAACCATTACAACTTCTCATAACTCGTCAAAGGGATGGTTTATGTTGAAAATCCACTGTGTGATGATCTTGAGATTCATGCTAAGTATAGGGATGACACCCTTTGGTATGCTTATCTCCCAACCAAATAAAAACAATCAAAAAGCTATTGTAACTATGTTAAAAAGATCATGCTTATTTCTAATTGAGGGATGATAAATATTTTATTTGGAAGAATCATATCTATACTTAAAACTTGATTTATTGCTTTAACATCATGAGATTAAATGTTTATATTTATATATTACTCTAAAATTGATGACCTTTTGTGAATTTGGTATCTCTTGAGAGAGAAGCATAATCTATTACTCCTTTTGTCCCAATTTAAGTGGTGCACATTTTATAAATAGGAATAAAATTACTTTAAATTTTTATTTTACCCTTAATTAAATGATTTATAGCCACACAAATATTTATTGCTTGTTAAATCACAAGCTTCAAAAAAAAATCTTTCTTTGTTAAACTCCATGCCCAGTTAAAATGCATCAAGTGTATTATGAAGGAAAGAGTAATATTTAGCATTATACTTGAATTTAAATTTTATGTATTTGATTCATATTATAGGTTAAAGATGAGCAATGGTATTCGTCTTGCCAATGCTATACAAAAGAGTAAATATTAATAATTCACTATCCTTGTTAAGATTGATAAGAAAAAGGAAAATATGAAGGAGTTAGTTATTCAAGAGATACATGAACTTGAATATATTGATGCATAGTATTAGTGAAGAGGGCAAAAAATTACCATACGACGATCCACTCTTATCATTACATAAAATTATACTTTATTATTTCATGCATATTTTATGATTTGGTATACACGTGCAACGCACGTGAAGCGAAATTAGTATAATAAAAGTATAAGTTACTGTAGATGTTTATATATGTTAGTCGTATATAATAACTCAATAAATAAAGAAGGTCTCATAAAAATCCTCAATCATAAGTCTATAATTCAATTTAGAATTTATTTCAGTTTAATAATGTTATAACTTTAAATTCACAAATTATCATGCTTCCTTTTCAGTTTCAGCAAGAACAAGTCCTTAAAAACCTAAATAGTGCTGAAGGATATAACTTAAAATATATAACCGGGCAACTAATAATCTACAAATTTCATATGATCAAGAAATCAAATTAAATAGCAATAAAAATAATAAAAAAAATATTTAAAAGGGTACTAAAGCAAGCTTGTAAGAAAATTTATAATTGAAAGAAGGCTCATCCATGACATATTTACTCCGGAGAATGACTTAGAATTAGAATTATATAAAGGGCAGCCCGGTGTATAAGGCATCCCACGTAATTTAAGTGCATGATCTATATAAAAGTAAAATTTTAATATTTAAAGTTTTAAATATGTCACGATCCCCAATCCCGGTCGTGATGGCGCCCAAAACACTGCTAGGCAAGACCGACCAATTAACAACCTTAACCCCATTCATTATACAGTTCATTATTAGCTAACACAATTAAATTACCAAACCAACATAATAGAAGTCTGAAATGAGAGTTAAATGTGCGAAATTTTAAATGACAATACTACTACATAGCCCAATAGATCCGGTGTCACAAGTCTGAGCCTCTAATACATAAGTACCAACCTAATGCAAAGCAAATCTAGAAAATGCGGAGGAAACAAGAAGATAAAAGGGAGAGATCAGGACTGCGGACGCCAATGCAGCTACCTCGATGCTCCCGGATATGCGCTGCCTAACTGGAAATCCTCAACAACCTCAGATGCACCTGGATCTGCACGCAAGGTGCAGGGAGTAATGTGAGTACTCCGACCCAGTGAGTAATAAACATAAATGAAGGCTGAGAATAAGAAATCCTGGATAAACACATTGTAATCTATAATACAGCAGTTTAAACCAAATAGTATGAAATCAATGAACCAGTGAAGTAGAAACATGGAAAATCTACAACAGATAAGCAAATAATTGATAGCTAAATAAAGGAATGCAGCACATAGTACGGTACTCTCTAGTACCCGCTGCGGCGTGCAGCCCGATCTATTTATTTATCGTCGATGGCGCTCACTGGAGGTGTGCAGACTCCGGGAGGGCCCCTTACGGCCCAAGCGCAATATCAAGCCATCTCGTGGCATCAGCTAGGCCCTCAGCCTGATATCAATATCCATATAATACCGCTGCGGCGCGCAGCCCGATCAATACTCAGTCCAGAAATCACATAAGCCCCTCGGGCAATAATAAAATAGTAGTTCTCAGCCCAAAACATCATTTAGTATATCTTTTAGTTTCAAAATCCGAGTAAAGATGGCTGAGTTGTAAAATAGTAGAAAACGGTACGACTGAGTTCAAGTAATAAATCCATACAGTAAGGATATAGTGATAAAAACTCCCCGAAGGGTTCAAATAGTTAGCACGAAGCCCAAATATGAAAATCGATACAAATAATGATGACAACAAATAGGCTTCAATCAAATAAGCGGTAGGAACATCACTCGGGACGGACCAAGTCACAATCCCCAATAGTAAACGACCCCATGCTCATCATCAAACACGTGTCTCACCTCAATATAGCACTACGATGAGCAAATCCGGGGTTTCAACTGTTTTCTTTTAAACATTTTGCCACCCCTACTTGGAGCTAATAGCCCAAAATTAAGCCCAAAACATATACTCTAGCAATGAAGAGGCAATTTAGCATTTTAAGCAAATTTTGGTGAACACTATACCTTATCTGATGTCCCTCACGAATAAGTCATGGTAATTCAACATACAGTATATATACATAAAAAATATTTTTTTACCTATTTATCCAGTATTCCACTGTAATTTTCTAGCGAAATCGATTGACACCCCATGAATAAAGGTGACTCTGTCACTGTTTGAAGGAACCTGAACTAACTAAACTCATGGGGCACGAATACTGCATTAGTGTATCTAAATTTTAGTTCGATTCATTATAAGTATATAAGTCAAGTCGAAAGCAGTTGATATGGTCATACCCAATGCGCATGCAATGCATTTGCTTATGTCTGGCAGTCTGGCACATATAGAAGTTTGAGTAATTCAATTGATCCCTTGCACAGTTGTGAAGTTGGAAATTAATTCGAGTGACTAATATGAACACCGACATTAAACCAACTTCACCAAGATCTCCTTTTAAAGCCGTAGAAATCATTTGGCTCCAAACTTCTCGTATTACCTGCCACTAAACCCAGGACAGAATCGTCTGGCGTGGGTTTGCTAAATTTTACCATATATCACACCCCCCATATAAGTTGTTATACAAATGCGTTACAAAGTAAAAATGTCATTTCCCAAACTGGCAGGTACAGAACATTCCACTTTCAAAATAACTAGTGTTTCACTTATCCAGTTTTATCAAAGAAATTGCCCGAGACAAACCTTTACTGTACATCTAACTACTTGAATGAACAACCCTCACTGCCTCAAGCTCCAACTTAAGCACCAAAAGGCACAACCATTAATCAAACTAGTCCACAAAAACCACTGGGACCTTTCCAAATGTAGAATAACTAGAAGCAGCAGTAAAGAAGTATCACACAAACGATGAAACCAAGGAAAACAGTAGGAACTAAAGAAAGCAAAACGTAAATGGCAAACTTGTCCAAATATGGATATCTAAAACAAATTTGCTACTCAACATCACAGCAAAATTTAGTATAATTTCAGCACCAAGTAGTTAATTAAAAAGTCTTAATCAGGAAACAAGTAGGGAAAAACAGTAACAAGCTAAACTGTTTAAGCTTTGTCAGCCTTGGCAGCTGTAGCAGCAGCTTGACCACGAAGACGACCAGTCCTCCTTGCAGCAATAAGACCGACCTTTTGGCCAGGTGGTGCGTCACGACGGACAGTACTAGCATGACCAATATGTTGATGGTTACCACCACCATGAGGATGCTCCACAGGATTCATAGCAACACCACGAACCTTGGGCCAGCAGTTCCTCTTTACCCGGTACTTGTGGTATGCGTTACCGGCCTTAAGCATTGGCTTCTCAGTACGTCCTCCTCCAGCTACTTGACCAATCATGGCACGGCACCCACTGGGAACAATCTTCTTGGATCCTGATGGCAACTTAATCCTGTGTCAAAAGTAAAATTGAGTCAAACAAATTTCAACAAACGTCTGAACATACTTGTTGAGGGTGTGACAACAGTGTCACAACAATGTGCAAAGTAAAAACCACATGTCATAGGTTAAATGGCAATAACATTTTACAAGGAAAGTTGAATTTATTTCACACAATTCAACACAAACAGTTAAACAATAATTGCATAGCGTTGTAACTGGACAAACCCGCACTGTCAGTTCATATAAAAAGATGAAACATAGTACTGTGTTCATAATTTTGATAGTAGTGCAAACACATCTGATCGAATGTCCGTACCTAAAATATCACAGGGACTCTAAAATAACAGATATAAGTGGACAGAAATGACATTACAGACAGCAAAGTTTCACTCTTCTTTTTGACAGCAAAGTTTCACACTTAAGTGGAAATTGCTGGCACAAACAATCCTCTTTCAACAAAATGCAAAGGTACAGACTAACAACTAAGAGTCTTCAGTAACAAGGTTCAAGATATGAACATATCAAATTATCAATTGGGTATAGAACATACTGCTGTCGACCAAAAACATATATAACAGATCAGATCAATTGGGATTACAACATACTGCTATTCATTCTGCGTAGGTTGTTTATTCTGTAGGTTATTTGTTAAACCTAAAGTATCTGCCCAACAAATCGACCATTATAACATAATCGTGCCAAACAAATCATGTAGAAAGGTACTACAAGAACCCGATTACACTGCCATCACATAACCAGGTAAAGCATTATAACCACTTGCCACTGATTAATTACTAATATTAACTAAAAAAACATATTACGAAAAGGAGCGATTAATATATACCTAGTGGTTCCGTTATCGGGGTTGTGACTGATGACAATAGCATAATCACCAGAGCACCTGGCAAAAACGCCACGGTCACCAACCTTGTGTTCCACATTGCAAACGACAGCTCCTTCAGGGATAGATCTGAGTGGGAGAACATTCCCAACCATGAGAGTAGCCTTCTTCCCACAGTAAACGAACTGGCCAGTGTACATACCCTCAGCAGCCACGAACAGTTCCTTCTGGTGCTTGTAACGGAACGGGTGACGGAAAGTGATACGCGCCAATGGGGCACCCCTACCTGGGTCATGAATAACCTCCGTTATGACACCCTTGAGGTAACCATTCCGTTCGCCGAAGTCGAGGGAACGGAATCGGGCAGGGCCTTTACGGTGGTGGGTATGGGACTTGAAGACTGACCCTGCTCCCTTACGTTGTGCTCTGATCACACGACCCATTTCGCCGTCTCTCTCTCTCTCTCCCTCTCTCGAGCTTGCTCGGCTGGGTTGAAGAAATGCTATATGAAGTATGCAAATTAGGGTTTAAGAGAAGAGAAGCCGCAAGAAGCCCTAGTTTAAAATTGGGCCGACATACTAGTAACCCACGTGTGTCTACATTGGATTTCAGCCCATCACTATTCTCAACCCCAGTCCACATTATTAACTATGTAAGTTTTAGAATTTCAGTAAAAATATTTCTTGAATTTATGCTTTATTTGTTATTCATATCGTATCTATTAGGGGCGTCAAATAGGTGGGTTGGGTTGATTTTGGGGTCAAAATAGGCCGAGTCAATAAATGAACCGGTCATTGACCTGCCTAAAAATAACTTGAGCTGAGATGGGTTAATTAAGGTTGGGCTAAAATTTGGGTCTTAGCCCAACCCGCCCAACTCATACCAAGCTTTAATAAATGTGTATTATTTTCTTATAAACTGCTTAATTATCAAATAAGACTTTTTATTTTGTTATGGTCATATACTATAATGTATCAAACAAAAAAAGATTATTTTAAAGATATAATAGCAAAGTTAATCACGGATCAATTTGGACTAAAAATTCAGCCTAACTTTAGATGGGCTTAAATGAGTTGGGTCAAGATGGGCTGAGTTCAATCTTGGGTGGGTCAATGACCAAGCCAACCTTAAATGGGTTAAACGGGCCAAATGGGTTTGAGCTCAAATTGCCATCCCTAGTATCTATATCCAGGGACGGATTTACCTTAGCCGAAGCAGTGTCACGTGACACCGCTTGGTCAGAAAATTTTACTAAATAAGTATATATAAAAAAAATCCAACAGGAGAAAGGAAGATAAATATAATAAAAGTTACACCACTTCACAACAAAAGGTGTGCAACACAGCTGGTCAAGCGATTCAATTTCCTTTAAGATGTCATGGGTTCGAATCTCTTCAGCTTCATCTTTGAGCCTCATTTTGTTTTAGATTCTTTGGTAAAGGTCCAAATATGTCCTTGTACTATACGAAATTGAGCATATTTGCCCTTAGTTAATACTTTAGCCCATATATGCCATTTAACGTCACATAGTTGGTCCATATGTGCCCTTTTTGAAACGGAATCCGCCAAACTAATTAGCTCTTTCGTTAATTGTACTAAAATATATTACAAACACTATTTCCTTTTTATTAGTACTTTTTTTTCTTTACCTTTCTCTTTTCTTCTTCTTTTTTCTTTTCTTCTCTGTTTTTTTTCCTTTTTCTTTCTCCCATATCTGAGTTCCTCCATTGTTGATGCCTTTTTCATTTTCATCACCAATTTAACTTGACAAAACTCATGAATTCCTGCTAATTCTACTATCACAAACCCCACAGGTTCTTCCGACCTGAAGGAGATAAAAATTGTCGGAGAAACTTTTTCGGTGGTATTAATTGGGTGAAGGTAGGATATGGTTATTCAGATTTTGAAGGTCTTGTTCCCTTCAGATCTGAAGCTCCACGGCGAACAACACCTTTAAAATCTGAATAACTATATCCTACCTTCACCAAAATACCACCGAACAATTTTCTCCGACAATTTTTATCTCCTTCTTTTCATAAGAACCAGAGCCTTCTCGCTTGGAAGGTTTTGGTGGTAGGTTTGATTTTTAGGAATAAAATCACATAAAATTGGTGACGAAAATGGAGAAGGCATCAGCAATGGAGGAAATCAGATATGAAGAAAGAAAAAGGAAAAAAAAGAGAAGAAAAGAAAAAAGAAGAAAGAAAAGAGAAAGGTAAAGAAAAAAAATACTAATAAATAGTGTTTGTAATACACTTTAATACGATTAAAGAAAGAGCTAATTAGTTTGTTGGATTCCGTTTCGAAAAGGGCAATTATGTGACGGTAAGGGCATATATGGACCAATTATGTGATGGTAAGGGCATATATGGGCTAAAGTATTAATGAAAGACAAATGTGCTCAATTTCGTATAGTACAATGACATATTTGGACCTTTTTCGTAGATTCTTTGTGCCTCATCTAGAAATTTTATAAAAAGAAAACGGAAAAGGGCCAAAACTACCCTCAAACTATAGGCTTAGGGTCAAATATACCCTCTATCCACCTATTGTGTTAAAATTGCCTCCGACGTTTTCTTTTCAGCTCAAGTCTACCCTTATGACTAACGGCCATTTCCAAAAAAAAATTATTTAATAATGATGTGGCAGCTTCTCATTCGTCGAATTTAAAACACTTCTCCCCATTAAAACTACCCACCCATATGTACCATTTTCAGAATAACCTGCCCCGAACCAAAAATCTAACAGAAAAAAGGGATAACCCCCACCTCCACTGGACTCTTCTTCTTTATTTTCTAAGCGCCTTTTCTTCAAATTAGGGCTCTTCAAAGAAAGAAGAGTCGTGTCAATAGCTGCAATAAAACTTTTTAGCTTATTCCACAAGAAAATCAGTTCAAATATGTAGAGAACTACAAATTTTGGACATAAACAAACATCCACAAATCACTAAATACCCTCTAAAATTTCAGTACTAAAAATTATGACTAGCTTCAATGGCGGACAGCTTTGTTCCTTGTATTTTCGAGCAACCAAGACAGTAGATAAACTTGACATTAGCTTCAAATAATAACAATTAGCAGGTTCCAAGCAACAATCTCGGCTTTCAAAACCAAACTCTCTTAACAACTTCGACAATTTCAAGCCACGAATTTGGCCCACCAAAGATCCTAATCAGTAGAGTGATCAAGGAAAGTTTTAAGCACTAAAACTCTTCAATTCAGCAAAGGATCATCCTTTCTCAATTCCACCAATGAACTCAGTTGTATTTTCAAATGCTCATACCAATGAAATTTATAAACTCATAAACAAAGCATGAACTCAAGTGTATTTGATCAAACAATGATACTATATTTTAATTTTTTGATTTTTTTTGTTTTTGTTGTTGATTTGGTAATAAAAAATTAGGCACTTCAGGTCGGGTTAGTGCAGTTTGGGGCGGGTTAGTCCGAAAAGGGTACATATGGATGGGTCTTTCTAATAGGAACATGTGTTTTAAATTCAGCCAATGAGAAGCCGCCACGTCATTATTAAATAAGTATTTTTTTGGGTGGAAATGGTTGTTAGTCCGAAGGGTAGGCTTGAGCCGGAAAGAAAACGTCGGGGCAGTTGTATCGCAATAGGTGGATGGAGGATATATTTATCCCTAAGCCTATAGTTCAGGGGCAGTTTGGACTCTTTTCCGTAAAATAAATAAATAAATAAATAAAAATAAAGTGGAGGTTTTGTAATGACCCGACCGGTCGTATTGCCTTTTAGAACCCTGTTCCCCTAAATAAAGCCTCCCGTACTTGCTTTAACTAATTTACGACTTGCAGGGGCAATTGGTTCGGGGACTGGAAGGGTTTTGAGTAAAAATATGCCCATTTGCTTCTTTAGGATTTCTTAAAAAGACCAAGTTTGACTTCGGTCAACATTTTGGGAAAACGGGCCCGGATTCGTGATTTGACAATTTCTGAGGGTCCGTGGAAAAATATGGGACCTGGGCGTGTGTCCGAAATCGAATTCCGAGGTCCCTAGTCCGAGTAATGAATTTTTAACTAAAATTATTTAATTGAAGCTTTAAGGAATTAAAGAAACTAAGTAATCATTGATTCCCTAGGTATCGGGCTCGAATTTTGGCTCCGAATCTTGGTACAGGTCCGTAATGTTGTTTAAGACTTGCCCGTAAAATTGGTGTCAATCCGAGTAGTTTAAGGGCGTTTTGACCCGTTAGAGGAGAATTAAGAACTTGAAGATTCAATAGTTTGATTCATTTGGTTTTAGGGAGGTGATTCCGAGATTTAGCGTTATTTTGGGAGTTCCGAGGGTTCGAGTAGGTCCGCCTCGTAATTTCAGACTTGTCGGTATGTTCGGGCGGGGCTCGGGAGCCCCGAGCGTCAAACGAGCGAGGTTCGAGCGAAGTAAGAAAATTGGAGGAGAACTGAAGTTTGCTGCTTCTGTCATAACCGCATCTGCGGTTCTTGGACCGCAGAAGCGGTACCGCAAATGCGGGCAGCCATTGCAAAAGTGGAAAGGGCCAGGCCCAGGGGAAACCGCAGAAGCGGCCTAGAGACTGCAGAAGCGGTCCCGCTTAAGCGGCCCCCAGACCGCAGAAGCGGTCCAACTCCTCAGGCCCAAACCCGCAGAAGCGGCTCGACATCTGCATAAGCGGGCATCTGACCGCAGAAGCGGCCCAGGCTTGTTGAGCCATTTCCACAAAAGCGGGCCTTTTTCCGCAGAGGCGATTTCCGCAGAAGCGGTCATGGTGCCGCAGAAGCGGTCATGGTGCCGCAGAAGCGGAAATCGCTGGGGGCAGAGAGTTCATTTAATCCGAACTCAAAGTCATTTATTCCATATACAACTCCACACTTGGGCGATTTTTGTGCTTCCAAAGAGAGGGTTTCAGCATAGCATTGTAAGGTAAGTATCCCCATTCATCTTTAGTTAAATACATTTATAATAGGTAGATTAAACACTAAAAATTAGGTAAAATCAAAGGGTTAGAGCTAGACCTAGGGTTTTAATAAAACTAAAATTCAATCATGTAATTTGTTATGAAATGGGTTAGAATTTATATATTATCGATCCTTAGGTTGTAGAGAGCAATTTCCTTCGAAAAATATTGGAATCCGGGCACGTGGGCCCGGGGTCAGAATTTAGGAAACTTGTGGAAAAGGTTGGGAAATTACTTAAATAGTTGGAATTCGACCTTTTAAGCCTTTATTGACTAGTTCTTACCTATTTTAACTAGTATCGATCGTTCGGCTTCAAATTAAGAGCTTGGGCTTGTTCTTGATATCAGGAGCGCGCTTTGGAGTGAGGTGAGTCTCCTTCCTAACCTTGTAAGAGGGAACTGTCCCCATAGGATTTATAATTGAGTAATTGTTGCTAAATGCGGGGGCTACGCACGCGCTAGGTGACGAGAGTCCGTGCGTAGCTATTACTATGTTAATGGTCCGGGTAGTTTAGGACCCACATCATGCTTATTTTACATGACTCTCTATATTATTTTATTACTATGAGCACCTA